CGGGGTGGAACGGGTCATTGAGGAGAAAAAGGGACATCTGTAATACTTTAAACAAAATAAAAATTAACAACAAAAAATTTTTTTAATGTTTTTATTGATTTTAGAGAGGAAGGGAAAGGGAGAGACAGAAACATCAATAAGCTGCCTCTTCCATGCCCCCCACCAGGGATTGAGCCCACAACCTGGGCATTTGCCCTGACTAGGAATCAAACTAGCAACCCTCTTGGTGCATGTGTGGATGCTCAACCACTGAAACACACTGGCCAGACACATTAAGCTAACATTTAAACTATTCAATTACCCCAAAGATCTTTGGAGTAGGAAAGTGGTTTAAATATCCCTCAATATCCTCCTCAAAAGCTTGTTAAGATTCTACTTTTAACAAGAGGAAAAGGCCTCATTGGCTCAGAGCATGTATTCTTAGAGTTGCAAATGCTTAAGTTCCTCTCCTTATCCAGTGACTGGATTGGTTATTCTCAATCTTTTTATAGGCCTTTGACTTCTAAAACCTTAATTATGTTCAATGTCTTTATTATCAAGCCTTTGTATCCTAAAAGGACATAAGATCTAGTGAGATCTGAGCAGAGCTAATTTTCTAAGAGTTCCTCTCTGGAAACAAAGGAATGTTTTTATTTTGGTAAAAGAAAAGATGACAAAGGAAAGTGTGCAAGTAAATCAGAATCAGTGGATTCTACATTACAAAATAGTTATCAGCTGCCATTAACATGCAATACTGTATAATCAATTGCTAAATAGTGATTAGGCTCAGCTTACCTTGATATGCAGCATCTGTAGCCTTCCTCTTTACTTCAGCCTCCTCTTCCTCCAATTTCTTTTTCCTAAAGAGTAAATGAAAGGTTAGATCCTAGCCAGCTCCAGCTCCTCCACAGTTCAAAATGCCTCACAAGGAAATTTTTGCCAGGCTAGTAGTTTCTGGAGTAAGGCCCTAAAAAGGAACCCTTAATCAGCAAAACAGCGAAATTTGAGTGTACTGCCTACTAGTTCTTCACCCACACAAACTAAAGCCACTTTTAAGTTAAAACTAAGTTATGGCCCTAGTCAGTTTGGCTCAGTGGTTAGAGCATCGGCCCTCGGACTGAAGGGTACCAGGTTCGATTCTAGCCAAGGGCACGTACCTTGGTTGCAGGCTCAACCCCCTGCCCCGGTCAGGTAGTGTGGGGAAGGTAACCAACTGATGTGTCTCTCCCATACTAGTGTTCTCTCTCTCCCTCCCTCCCTTCTACTCTCTCTGAAAAGCAATGGAAAAAATATCCAAATATCCTTGGGTGAGGATTAAAAAAAACACAAAAAACTAAGTTATTTTCTCATGTTGAAATGTCTATCTCATTACCTTCTAGGACCCACCCCCTCAACCCTCCACCCTCCAGTACCAGGCCACTCTGTAGCTTTCCCCTTCCAAAATCTCTCAAGTCTAAAGGAATGACAGATAGAGGAAATAAGCCAGATTACTTGAGGAGAAAAGAGGGTAAAAAGAGATAAAGGAGTATAGACAGAATAATAATATAACCCACATTGCAATGTCATTGCAAAGTTCATCCAGCCTGCTGTCCATGTGCCCAGCTTGAATTAGTTCTGCATCTCTTTTCAGTCGTCTGTAGGAAGAAAGAGAGGTAAGTAGACTGGGCTTTTTCATCTGCTACTTAAAATATTCTGACCAGCACTAGAAGTTAGCCCCTTTTGTGTCTCCAACCATTTGGCATCTCTCTGGTAAGTACCTATATTTTTCCTGGGTTTCCTTTATCACTTTCTTTAGTTCTTCAACTCGTTCAGCGGTCAGTTTCCGAACAATGACATCTTCAACAGTTTCTACCACTTCTCCCTTTTCACCTCGTTTCCGTCTGTGGAAAATTAAAACACGAATACATTTGAATAAGAGAACATTTGTTCCCACTCCCACTTGCTTTTTTTGAGCCTAACCACAGAAAACTTTTCCTATACTTTTATCACCCAGTTATATAAATAGATATATACCAGGCTTCCTCAGTAAACACTCTCCATTCAAGAGATTTAGCTTGAATGCCTGGCTTTATACTCACTTTGGGGTCTCAGTGGTTTCTAGAAGCTCGGAGTACTGAGAAGCACAGTGCTATGGGAAAAAAGTGAAAATATGATAAGCAAGCTGGTAAAGGAATGACCTTTCAAAGTTTCAACATATTAAACTAAGGTTTAGAGAGGGGAGACATGAGTGTTTCTATGAAAGCAAATTATTTAGCAGGAAATCAGTTCAAGATAATCAATACTAAAACACTGAAATGGAAGTCTTCTGGCCTGAAGTTTGAGTATTTGAAAAAGACAACCTAAAAGGCAATATTTATAGCTAATATCTACTGAGTAGTTACCATATGCAAGGCACTCTGCTAAATGCTTTATAGTATTACCTCAACTGAATCTTCAAAACAATTCTGAAGCAACTTTTATGTCTATCTTACAAATGAGAAAACTAAGGATCATTGTACAAAGTTTTTAAGTGGAGTCATATTAAACCCAGATCTATTTAATTCCCAAGCTTGGGCTCTTAACTGTTATACCACGCTGACAATAAAAGTTTGTAAAATGAACATACATGGATGGATTAGCAAACAGCAGATAAAGAAAAGGTATTCTCAACTACTCTCTCCCCTCATGGTATGAAAGCCGTGTGATTAAAAGGCACGGAACCCACTTCACATCTCAAAGACTGCTCTAAAATAGCACTTGGCCCCGCCAGGCATGGCTCAGCAGTTGAGCATCATGGTTCAATGCCTGGGTTGCGGGCTCTATCCCCAGTGGGGGACATGCAGGAGGCAACCGATCAATGACTCTCTCTCATCATTGATATTTCTACCTCTCTCTCTCCCTCTCCCTTCCTCTCTCTTAAATCAATAAAGATACATTTAAAAAAATTAAAATAAAAAACAAAATAAAATAAAATAAAATAAAATAAAATAATAAAATAAATAAAATAAAATAAATAAAATAATTAAATAAATAAATAAAATAAAATAAGTAAAATAAAATATAAAATAAAATAAAATAAAATAAAATAAATAAAATAAANATAAGTAAAATAAAATATAAAATAAAATGAAATAAAATAAATAAAATAAAATAAAATAAAATAGCACTTGCTTGGGAACTTACTTTTTGAGAGAACCAGTCTGGAGGACGGCCGGGTTCTGCAAATGGCTTGATTGCTCTACTAACTGATACCCTACAAAATGAGAAAAGTCTTATTACACACCAAATAAAAGAAAAAGAAAGAGAAAAAAAAAAAGAGGAAAAGTATGCTGAGAGTTCAATGTTTGGAGTACAAACCTTGGAATAAAAAACTGCCACTGGAAAGTATAATATATGACTATAGAAAATGACATGGCTTGAAAGTCATTTAAAAGGAGTCTTCCTAGGTGATATATTTCTTGGGTGAAGTGAAGGTATTAGAACCTAATAAAGTATCATTACGGTTCATTTGGGGAAATATTTTTATGTTGAATTTGGTTTCTTCGGAAAGATTTGCCTTTTGAAAAGCAACCTGTAATATATTACAGGTCCCCAAATGTTCTTTTGACCCACTAATATAAATATAGCTCCTAAAAATGTAACATAATAATTTGCCTGGCCAATATGGCTCAATGGTTGGGTGTTGGCCCATGAACCAAGAGTTCATAGGTTCAATTCTGGGTCAAGGCACATGCCTGGGTTGCGGGCTTGATCCCCAGTAGGGGACGTGCAGGAGGCAGCCAATTGATGTTTCTCTCTCATCGATGTTTCTACCTCTCTATCCCTCTCCCTTTCTCTAAAAAATCAATAAAAACATATTTTTTTAAAAAAGAAAATAACTTAACAAAAGAAATAAGCACCAAGAAGAAAGTACCATGTAGATTTGATTAGACTGGTGAACAGTTAAGATTTTTCCTAAATGCCTGCAAGAGGATATTTAACTTATGGCACTTCAACTCTATAAAATATTAAACAGTCCATAAAAATAACTATGAAATATATGTGGTGATATGGAATATACTCATAACAATAATATTAACTAAAAAAGATGACACAATTTTCTGCCATGATGCAATTACACCACCTTTTAAAAAGTTGTAGGTATAAAGACAAAGAAACAGGCAAAATGAAAATAGTTGGACTGGAATGGGATCAAAAGAAAGTATAAAGGAGCTTCAACTATGTCTGTTTATTTCTTTTTGAGAACATGACAAGCCTGGCTGGTATGGCTCGGCGGCTGAGTGTCAACCCACGAACCAGACTGTTCAATTCCTGGTTAGGGCAAATGCCCAGGTTTTGGCCTTGGACCCCAGTAGGGGGCATACAGGAGACAACCAATCGATGTTTCTCTCTCCCCCTTCCTCTCTCTGAAATCAATAAAAATATTTTAAGAACGAAAACAGGACAAAATATTAAGATTTGGCCCAACCAGAGTGACTCAGTTGGTTGAGCATTGTCCTGCGCACTGAAAAGTTTCTGGTTCGATTCCCAGCTTGGGTTGCGGGTTCAGTCCCAGATCAGGACGCATACGGAGGGCAACCAATCAGTGTTTCTCTCATTCTCTACCCCTTTCTCTCTCTCTAAATATCAACAAAAAAAATATTTTAAAAAATATATTAAGATTTGTTATGTCCAGGTACTGAGTACACAGGCAATTTATATTTATTATTCTCCACACTTCTCTATGAAGTAGAAATATTTCATAAATTTAAAAAGGTTTTAAATTTTGTTTTGGGATAATAGTATCACAGAACTCTTTTAAAGAAAAAGTTTAACATTGTTGTATGGATAGCTATAACCAAAAACAAAGTTTGATCCATAATTTACAACTTATACTAAGAAAAGTCCTAAGACCAAATATTTAAATGTTTAAAAAGTTTAACCATAAAAGTACTAGAAGTCATAGGAGAATTATTTTATATCTCAAACTAGGGAAAAACTTTCCATTATGACACAAAATCCAGAAGCTATAAAGGAAAATTACTAATAGCCCTAGCTGGGTTCGCTCAATGGCTAGAGCATCAGCCTTTGGACTGAACGGTCCCAGATTTGAGTCCAGCCAAGGGCACTCAGTTGCACGCTCGATCCCCAGCCCTGGTCAGGGTAAGTGTAGGAGGCAACCAATGGATGTGTGTCTCTCTCACATTGGTATTTCTCTCTCTCTTCCCCTTCCATTCTCTCTGAAAAGTAATGGAAAAAATAACCTCTGGTGAGGATTAAATAAAAATAATAATAATAATAGAAAAGTACTGACACTTGATACAGTATGAATCTTGAAAGTATTATGCTAACCAAAAAAAATCCAGTCACAGAAGACCACAAATTATTATTTCACTTATATGAAATGTCCAGAATAGGCAATCTATTGAAACAGAAAGTAGATGACAGATTGGATAAGGTGGAAAGATTGTAGAGTCGCTGACAGTTGCACAACTTTGTGAATATACTAAATTCTGTGAACACACTGGGTTAATTTTATGGTATGTAAATTACATCTCAATAAAGCTGTTAAAAGAGAAATACTGCCTACAGTTCAGTATGACTAACTACAGTAATCCACTAATGTAAAAAAAAATTTTAAAAATCCAACAATTTCAAAGACCCAAGAAACCAGACATTCTAGATACCTTACCAATTTTGATCTCCACTCCTCATGACGGAAGACGCTAAGCACAGCTTCTCTCGAATGGACCATGGTTCTGTGGGGCCACTACTCAACAGCTTGTGTTCTGAAAGGAGAGGTTTAGGAGCAACCACTTAGATACTCGGTCTATGCCCCAAGAGGAGGTCTAGAAGCTAACACAAAACATCCCCATTTGGCTCAGTGGTTAGAGCTTTGGCCCGGGACTACAGGGTCTCAGATTCGATTCTGGCCAAGGGCACATATCTCGGTTGCAGGCGCTGAGGCGACTGCCCTGCCTCCAATAGATGTTTCTCTCTCCCTAAATGGGAAAAATATCCCCCAGCGGGGATGAAAAAAACACACATACCAACTCATAAGGACAGAGTGAGCGACGATCACCAAATCTTGATTTTTTTTTTCCCCCCCCACCTCGCTAGTAAAAATATCGCCACTGGGTGGGTGGTACCTATTCACTGCATGCCAAATGCACTCAGTAGTTGGCAAAATACTGTATTTCTTCATGACTACTCTTTATAAAAATAAAAAAGATTGTGTCAGATTAAGATAAAGCAGTTCTCCCGAAAAACCGTTTTAAGAATACACACTTTATCCCAGTATGAACTCCACGGCTTACTTCCCAGGATTCCGAGCAGCCAGCCTCCCCCCAAGCCCCGCCTCCTTCTTAGCATAAACTTGTTTACTGAGTTCAGTAACCCTCACCCCCCTAGAGTTGCCGGACCTAAAAGACCTTTTCAGTCCACGAAACGGAGGGAAATGGCTGAGGTGCAAGAAACGCAATTTCCCCAGTGGCAGAAAAGGCTCCCGGTTAAAATATCCCATTTCTCTGTAGGGGCCCACAAACGTTAGAGTGTGACTGGCTCTGAGATGCGGGCCACTCGATATGGCTCACAACTCGTCCCGAGTCTCTAGAGCCCCTTTATCGCTCACCCCACACAGCTCCCAAATACACACGGATTCGCCGAGCTGCTTCTCTCAAATCTCCGCAGCCTCCTTAAGACACAAGGCCCTACACTTCTCGACCCCCAAACACTGGCCTTCAACGACGACGCCGAGCCACAAAGTCTCTGAAGACCCTGGGCTCTCAGGAAAATCATTGCTCCTACTCCCTAAGTGCCTGGTCTCGGCCCTACAAAAGATTTCCACGCAAAAGCAGCGAAGATACTTACTGCCTGTCCCTGTCGCCATCTTGGCCCCCGTCTTCTACCCTCGCGCGAAGACCGCCTAGTAGGGCCGAATCCCGGGAACTCTGGGAAATAGTTCGCTGTTTCTCCTGGGAAGTGTAGTCTCCCACCCGAAGACGACCAAGCGTACTACTCCAGTTGGGCTCCTGAGAAGAAAGGAGCAGAAGGACAAAGGATGGCGGCTGAAGCCTTAGGATTTCCTTTAGGGTTCTTGGAAAAGAAATGCTTAGGGTTGAAGAAAAAGTGTTAAGCGGGAAGAATTCCACGGTACTCCACTCGAAACTCCGACAGTTGGTAACCCGGACGCACATTAGAGTGGAAAGGTCAACCCGTAACAAACCGTCTCCCATTCTTACCCGCCCCCTTTCTTTGCGCTGATTGGTAGCTGCAGGCTTCTTTATCTGATTGGCGGAACGGAGGCAGCGCGTAATTTAAAACATTGTATCAGTAACAAAGGTGGACCTAGTGGGCGGAGTTGTGCTCAATAAAGGCCGAAGTCAGGGTTCGGCCGCGGGGGTGTGAATGGGCCCGGACCAGAGGAGGAACCAGTGTCGCGTATTCGAGTGAGTATGCGGTTGTGCTGGAGCCCATCTTGGGTACCAGCTATTTCCCTCGCGAAATAGGCTGTCAAAAAACGGAGCTGCTGCCATCACTTTTTTCTTAATACCTCTGTCCGCACTGTGGGCCTGGGAGCGAGGTTGGAGAAGGTGCCTAGAGCTACTAACACCACCTTCACATCACCGGTGGGCTAGTCACCTTACTTGGAGCGTGACCGTCTGCTTTTTGAGCCTGGTATCTGTTCGTTGCAGTACGAGGTAGGAAATGCCGCCTCAAACTGGATTAAATTATTAATTCCTCTCATCCCTTTTCTGCTGGTAGTTAAAAGGGGAGTAGGGATTCAGGCAGCGATACCAAGGTGTCCTGGGGCAAGGGAATTGTTTTTTACCTAGAATTTGCAGCCCTTTCTATCCTTAAGGCTCTCCTCCCTACTCACTTTAGTCTCTTTTTAGACCTAAGCTGCCTGAGCCGTTATGTCTCGAGGGATCCTTTCTCCACCAGCCGGATTGCTGTCCGATGAGGAGGTGGTAGTCTCCCCCATGTTTGAGTCCACAGCTGCAGATTTGGGGTCTGTGGTTCGAAAGGACCTGCTGTCAGACTGCTCTGTCATATCCACCTCCCTAGAGGACAAGCAGCAGGTAAAGGAGTTGGAGAGTGGTGGGAGCAGAAAGTGATATCCTTAGCCTACAGAGTAGTATGAGGTCGAAGACCAGCAATCCTCAGGGTCTGAGAGTTCAGTTCAAAATTAAGAGCATGACAAGTAAAAAAATGTAGCTGTGTGTCTGTAAGAACTATTGTTTGCATTGCATTAATGAAATACCCTTAAGTGCATACTATCAGTTAAGCCTTTGAGGAAGGATAATAGTTATCTCTCCCTGGCCGGGAAGCCCAGAAGGCCTTAAAGAATTTGCACAAGATCATACTGCCATTAATAGGTGGAATGTCACAATAGTATGGGGAAGGCCTGGGGGTGGGGTGGACACGGGGTGAAG